AGCACTAACGTGCACTTCGAGTGATTTCCTTCTCATAGGACATTTCTACTACTACTGCTACTTTTCTCATGATTATCCTGAACGGTAGGGCTTGTGAAGGGGAGTGAAATGAAGTCCAGCCAGGGCAGCCTTCCTCGCCAATTGCTGGAAACTCAAGGTGGCGTCATTGGTGGGAAAGGTCGTCCTAGCAACGCTCCAATCCATTTCCCATCACACGCCCTATCGTTTGCAGGAATCATGACTATAATTCTACTACAAGGCAAACTCCCAGTGAATTCAAGTTCAGTTCCTCCCTGGACCCGCAAGGTTCAATGATGTGAATCTGTCCACCAGCACGGCAATGGAAGCCATTGAGCATCTCACTGAAGCTTTTACTAGGAAGCTAACGGAGGGGGAGCGTTTCCGTGAGTGAGAGTCTGTCCTCGTCAAATGCTCTTCCACAGGGCAGATGCCTTAGTCACTCTCTATCGTCATCTTGTTCTGTTCGAGCCCACGTAGAATAATCTTGGAAGTGTTGTCTTTTCCGAGAACATTCATCTGAGCCCTGATCACATATGAAGAGGCAGAAAAGCAATTCATGTGACTTGCCCATGACTAGTAGAACTACTTTTTCTTTTTATCACCATACCGTCTACTTATTTATGCTCCTTTTGTTTGGTTTGTGTTTTATCTCCCAATCGTCACCCCTTCCTTACTTTCCATCGTTCCTTTTTCTTTCCTTGCTGATTATTTTTCTGCTGAATATTCGGCTACGCTGACGGATTTATTGAGTTGATATCTGTGAAGACCTACATCGCGATTCTGAGTGCTTGCAGCACTGGCGACCTGTCCACTTGCTGTCCACGGCCGTTCTGGGGTTCTTACCACCTCTCCTATGTCCCTTCACATTCACTCCGAAACCGGTTTCGCTTAATTTCCTGAAATTTCGATAACTTGCAATTGGTATATCGACTATAGGGCATAAATCATAAGTATGGCAGATAAACACTTAATACCAACCAGGGCGCCACTTACGTTACGAATGCCCAGCCAGGGTTGTGAATCGGTCACTGTAGAGAGGGGTTGTATCTACTCGTAAGATAAATGTCTTCGGTTATTGATTTTTCTCCATTTTCACTATTTCAGGGGCGCTTTGCAGCTACTTACCCATCCAACATAGGAGTGTGTCATAAATATTTCAGCTACCTGGAAGAGAGAAAGGCCCTGTACGGCTTAGTGGGCGGCATTTATCTTTGTCAGCGCTTACAGGAGATGGGCACAGGAGGTTACACGAAACGTGGTTCGCAGCTTCCCACACACTCTAGGGCTATGCGCCATGATTTCAATAGAACTGCTATTAATTTCTACACCCCTTTCCACAATCTGACCATATT